TTTCCATCCAAAATGGAGACAAAACTCTCCAAATAAATTCTGGTGGTAGCAAATCTAATAATGGGGGTATATTGTTTGCAAGTTAAGTGGCAATTTCTCAGAAATGCCTGAAAATCAAATTAGATGTTTCAATTTGAGAACTTTGTGTACCTTTTAGACTCTATTAATATGCTCGTATTTTTTGTTTAATTTTACTCAAAGCCTTGCGTGTAATGTAAAAGTCAAATTGTGTCATTATTATCAATTATGAAATCCCCTATGAAATGACCTTTGAGCTGTCTATTATAAGATTAGTCTAAATAATCATGAATTTAAGCTTTTAGCTTACCCTTAACACATTGTGAGCTATTGTGATTACAATTTGGCTGGTGTGTGACAAGTGTCTGTCAGTCCGTCTGTCTGTCATCAACTTATCAATTTAAGGACATCTCTTTTGAAACTATTGGGTCAGATTTTATGAAAATTGTCAGAGATGTTCCTAGTATGAAGCTAAAATGATGTCAGTACATATAAGTCATGTTCTTATAGTTCTTTAGGGAAGTCTTCTAGAAGTTAATAACCTTTCATCAAATATTTCTTGACGGTGAATTAAGTGGTGAAAAAAACTTCTGATATCGCAAGTATCGCTGCAGTTAAGATATTTAGATTAAATGCATGCATCCAGTGAGCAAAAAACTTACGTATCATGTAATCTTTAAAGCTAAAGATCTGATAAAACCTCTTCAAGACTTTTAATGGCTTTTTGTGGTACATCAATATTTCAATTAATTAATTAAAAATCACTCAGGAAAATACACTGAAAAACAATAGGTTCATTTTTTGATGAAGTATGGATATAGAATTCCCCTGTTGAAGTAGATTGAGAGAGAAAGATAAATTTGATGCAGGCATGCACTGGTTTCTCAAGCTCTCAAGCCAACACAAGAAAAACAAATGCAAGTTAATAGCACTCAAACAACACAAACAACAATAGACAATGTCACGATAAATGAGAACCAGATTGAATGTAAGCCACACAAGAAAACTACACAAAGTCATGAGAAAAGGACAAATAAATACGGTATCATAATTTTGAAAAAAAACCCCAAAAAACAAGGAAACTATAATGACATAAGATTTAAGAAAACAACACAAGGAAACTATTACACACAGTTTAAAAAAACAACACAAGAAAACTATAAAGCAAGATTGAAGGAAACAACAAGTCATGAAGAATCTAGTAGATGATGTAAGAAATTACAATACAAGCAATCAACAACCACTCAAGAAATATTGCCAGGATTTATTTCACATAAGAAATCAACACAAGAAAATGATAAAAGAAAATAGCACAAAGAAACCACACAATTTAAAAAGAAAATAATGCATGAAGTCCACAAATATCAACACAAGGAAATGAAAGGAAATGATAGAAAGAAAAACTATTGGACAATATTGCAAGAAAATCTCTTTTGAAATCAATACAAGAAATTGGTACAAGAAAACAACAACAAAAAATCAAACAGGAAAATCATGTAAGAAATCGAAAAAATAATACTAAGAAAACAACAAACAGAAATTAAATGCGAATATTGCAAGACTTTCTCAAAGAAATCAACACAAGAAAATTAGACAAAACAACAAATTACTTAACAAAATAACAAACCACAGGAGAACATAATGCTTGTGATCACATAAGAAATTAACACAAGAAAATGATAGAAGGAAACAACACAAGGAAAACAAGCTGGAAATAAAAAAGTCACATACAAGAAACACAAGAAAATCATAAGACAAAGAAACCACACAGGTAAATAATGCAAGAAATCAACATACACATATAAGAAATCAACACATGAAAATGAACAAAGAAATCACACAAGAAAATTATGCTAGAAATCAACACACACATAAGAAATCAACACAAGAATAATGAAACAAGAAACACACTTGAAAAAATGCATGTAGAAATGAAGCCATGTAAGAAATTAACATTTGAAAATGATAGAAGAAAACAACACAAGGAAACCAAGCAGTAAATAAATGCAAAAAAGCCACATACAATAAACACAAGAAAATAAGACAAAGAAATCACGCAAGAAAATAATGCTATAAATCCACAGTCATAAACATAAGAAATCAACACAAGAAAATAAAAAAAAAGAAAACATATTACAAAAAGAAACCACACAAGAAAATAATACATGTTAACCCTTTCCCCCATGAGCATATTGTGAAAAATGGCCATTTTCACTGAAAAGCCTCCTCTTACAAGTTCAAACTGCTATGAAACTATAAAAAATGCTTCAATAATAATCAAACTTGGCACAAAATACATGTTGACTGGACCATTGCCTTTGTAACGACATGCTCAGTCTAAAATTTCCTGTTACCATGGCAATGAGGGGACATCTCAAAATTGCCAAAAATCACTATTTTGCCTCGATTTTTTCCATCAAAATTTATTTCAAAGTGCTGCAACTTCACGAGGGATTGAGATAGAGTCAAAGGCTTTTCAGCGTTGGTTACACGTTACCTTATGATCGACCTGGGGTCATTTTTAGCCTCTCACAAGTCCATAATTTTCATAAAATTATGTAAGAAATCAACACAAGAAAATGAACAAAGAAAACACACAAGAAAATAATGCATAAAATTATGTAAGAAATCAACACAAGAAAATGAACAAAGAAAACACAAGAAAATAATGCATAAAATTATGAAAGAAATCAACACAAGAAAATTATGATACAAGAAAACAATACAAGAAAATATGATCATTTTGAAAAATGTTTTATTAGGTGTTCTTAATTTTCTCAATTTTCGATAGGTTACCATGGTAAAATTTAGTTATGTGAGACTGGTATGCATTATTGCAAAAATAGCAGTAAAAACAGCAGTAAAAAGAACCTGGTTGAAGTTAATCTATTATTTTCAGGAAATATTGGTTGCTTTGACAGCCAATTGCCATATAGCAATACTTAAAGCCAATGAGAAATTGGACAAGTTTCTTTTCTTCTCCCGAGTTAAATTCATTAAAATTTAATGCTTCCTCTAGCTTTATGTATAATTATGTCATCGGAAATAAGCCACAAGTGTGTATGTGACAGGTGTGTGTGACAGCAAATTTGGAAGAATAATGATTTAATTTGTCATTTTTCTGTTTCACAATATAGTTATATTATAATAAGCATGTAAAATGGTAATAATGATATAATTTATTTTAGTAAGTCATATTATGAATTTGCTATAATAAGAGGTTATTGTGTTTTAATGGGAAATTTTAATGAAGTAGCCCTGAAAGGTTTGGAATCACTGAGCCCTGAGCACTGTGGGTTCAAAATCCCAAATTCTGCCATGGCAGCTTGGACTGAATGGCATTTTTTAGCAAGATTGTTTCAAAAAAAGTATCAACCAGCTAGGTAATGGAAATTTTGTGATTCTTCTCAGATACCTGGTTGTGTCAACAAACTTTACCTTAAAAAGACCTTCACCAATAGGGGAAGTGAGAGATCATAGTTGCACAAAACTATTAGTCTCTGATCCATTCTGCAATTGTCAACTATTTCCTTTGTTCATCTCTTAAAGCTGCATTATCTCCAGATGAGCCAAAATATTTCAAGAAAAATTAACCTGAATTGAGAAAAATTTACTGAGATATTTAGTATTAATATTCACAATAAGCTATCTTTGCTTTTCCTTATTTCTTGATCTAATTTTGGTACTTTTCATATATTTTAAGTGCCGTACAAAATAAATGTGTAAATTAACTTCTAATATGTTTACATAACAATATTTCAAGCTTATTATATTTTAATATTTATTTCGTTAATGAGTTCCCCCTTTTCCAGATTTTTTACAGTGTTTACTTTAAAAATATTACAACTAAAAAAAAAAAATAAAAAAAAAACAAAACACTTAATAACACAAGAAACTTTATTTTTAAAATTCATCATGTCCTTTTCCATTTCCAAGGTAACAAATATCTTAATTCATGTACATGTCCATCTTTCTATATTGACATAACCATTCATCATTTTTAGGGAAAAATTTCAAAATTAAAATGTACTGCATGCAAACAGTGCAGACTTAATTATCAGACACTACTAATACACAGTTGCTCTGGTTGAATAGTGATAGAATCCCAGTTGCTGCCAGCAGGAGTTTTTTCCTTTATCTAATTAATTGCAGACAAAATAATTTGGTTTGGTGAATTGTGAAACAACTAGGAATTTGTCAATGATTACCAAAGTATAGCCAAACGTCTACCGGTATTTGTACATCATTAATTACATGTACATGCAAGAGCATGCATGAGTTTGTGTTGTTGTCATGTGCCGTTACATATAATACTGCTGCACTTAATCACTACATATTACATGCAATAAAAAACGGCAAAACATTTGTTTAATTTAATTACAGTTTGTCTTGCATGAATATTACATTTATTTAATATTCATACAGTTCATTAATCAGTGCACTGGTGGAAACATCATCTGGTATCATTCATTTTAAGTGCACGAATTAAATCGTAACAGATTTGAAAACTTCTAAAATCATGAAATTTTCTATCATAACAAAGTATAGAATATTTGCCAATCATTTGAAATTGATAACTTATTTTGGAACACACCATTTTGAAATAGAAAAGTTATCTGAAGTTATGTATCATTAATTGAAATAAAATTACTGGGCTGAATTTCTTTAAATGAAATTGTCCAGCGCTTCCATTTTCTAAAATGTCCATTATAATATAAATTTTGAAGGTAATCCACCAATAGTAAAGCTGACAGACAGACAGACAGACAGACAACTTTTATTATTTCACTCAGGTATCTTAAAGTACAGGTATACAACATAAGCATTGAGGGTTACCAATATGTTGAGGCTATTATTTTGTCCGGTATTAAAAAGCAGGTCCATACCATGGTAAGGTTTAGAATTGAATATAATCACATGTTGTCATACTTACACAGTAAGATCAAGAAACTAATGTGTTTTTTTTTGTGTTGTTTTTTCAGACAACGTGTATCTAGATCATGCCGGTGCAACTTTAGTTTCACGTACCCAGCTTGAGGCTCATCATGCCGACATTCTCGGGAATATCTACGGCAACCCTCACAGCAGAAGTCCGAGCAGTCAGTTGACCACGGATACCATCGACCAGATCAGATACAGGTAAAACTGGGTCATAATTAGGTTTTTACCTTTTAATAAATAGTTCTATTACTAAAGTTAAGTAATTAATAACTACCTTATGTATTTTTTAAATCTAGTTTATTTTAGCTCAATTGTGAATCAAGTTCTTCAAACATAATTATATTTATCCCTATTGAGTCTGCTTCCTGGAACTATTGAACCATCACTGGTGTATTTTTTTTGGCCCCAAAGGAAAGGTTAAAATTTTCATGATTTTTTGGGGTTGAGGGGGCAAAACATTTTTAAAATTTTTTTAAAGGGGCCACTGGATTTGCCCCTTACTTTTCGTTTTTGGGAAAGGCAAAAGAGGAGTCGTTTTTTTAGCCCCTAAGTAATTTTGTTGTGAAAATCCTGTAAATTAAGACAAAATCCATTTAGGTTGTTGAAAACCCCTCCCTGAAACCCAAAAACTAAAACTTACCCATGGCTGTTTCCTCAACCAAAATTATAAAGGATTGTTCTTTTAATAGTATTAGTAACGAATTTACTGAGAAATTGAAAAGGTTTCTGCGACAGAGCGTGGAGTTTGAATATGTTTTAAGAAATTAACTTATAAAAAAAATTTTGTCTTCCAAGATGTTTAAACTTTTCCTTTAGTCAAAAAAAGAAAAACATCCAATTTTACACATTTTCTATTCCTTTGCGTTTCAATAAAAAAAACTGTCAATTTATTAATTGTATTCTAATTACTTGCTTTATACTTATCATCAGGATTACTTCAAATTTTATGAAAAGATTGTCTTTAAAATAAAACAAATATATTCAGTTGTTAAAAGGATCCAAGCATTTTCAATTATGGTTTTAGAATAATGTAGTGTTTGTTGGGCAAATGAAAATCTCAGGAAAAGAAAAGTAAATTAGTGGCTTTTAAGTCTAAATCATAAGATTTCTGTCTTTTTACTCAATGATTGAAGTATCAAAAAAAGAAGCAAAATTGCAACAAACAACTGCTAAATAATACTCTTGTTTGCACAGAGAAGTTCATTAAATTGTTTATTCCATCTTATGTTTGATGTAAATCAAATTTTAATTTTAAAATCTGTGAGAAAATCTTTGAACAAAATGGTTTATAAATAATTTGTTGTAGGTCTTTCTCCCTCCCACTTTGCAGAGCAGTATTGTTACAGTTTCATTCCATTTACCAGAACTTAACTAAGCATTATATTGCAATTGCTTTAGGTTCACCAGAAGTCTGCTGAACAGTAGATTGCAATAGTATTAGGTTTACCAGAACTCTACTTAACAGAAAATTGCAATAGTATTTGGTCTACCAGATCTCTGCTGAACAGTAGATTGCAATAGTATTAGGTTTACCAGAACTCTGCTGAAAAGTAGATTGCAATATTATTTGGTTTACCAGATCTCTGCTGAACAGTAGATTACAATTGCTTTAGGATCAACAGAACTCTGTTGAACAGTAGATTGCAATTGCTTAAGGTTCACCAGAACTCTGTTGAACAGTAGATTGCAATTGCTTTAGGTTCACCAGAACTCTGCTGAACAGTAGATTGCTATAGTATTTGATTTACCAGATCTCTGCTGAACAGTAGATTACAATTGCTTTAGGTTCAACAGAACTCTGTTGAACAGTAGATTGCAATTGCTTTTGGTTCACCAGAACTCTGTTGAACAGTAGATTGCAATTGCTTTAGGTTCACCAGAACTCTGCTGAACAATAGATTGCAATAGTATTTGGTTTACCAGATCTCTGCTGAACAGTAGGTTACAATTGCTTTAGGTTCAACAGATCTCTGCTGAACAGTAGATTGCAATTGCTTAAGGTTCAACAGAACTTTTTTGAACAGAGATTGCAATTGTTTTTGGGTTACCAAATCTGTTAACAGAAAAGTTGCAATTGCTTTAGGTTCACCAAATCTGCTAAAACAATAATGCAATAGTTATTTGGTTTCCCGATCTCTGCTAACGTAATTGAATATTATTGGGTTTTACCAAATTATTTAACAAAGATTACAATGTATTTGGTTCCCAAATTTCCCTGCTGAAAGTACATTGAAAATAGTTTTACTTTACCAGATTCTGATAAACAGTAGATTGCAACAGTATTAGGTTTACCTGATCTCTGCTGAACAGTAAATTGCAATAGTATTAGGTTTACCAGAACTCTACTTAACAGAAGATTGCAATAGAATTTGGTCTACCAGATCTCTGCTGAACAGTAGATTGCAATAGTATTATCTTTACCAGATCTCTGCTAAACAGTAGATTGCAGTAGTATTAGGTCTACCAGAACTCTGCTGAATAATTGATTGCAGTAGTATTATCTTTACCAGATCTCTGCTGAACAGTAGATTACAATAGTATTAGGTCTACCAGATCTCTGCTGAACAGTAGATTGCAATAGTATTAGGCCAACCATAACTCTGTTGAACAGTAGATTGCAGTAGTATTAGGTTTACCAGATCTCTGCTGAACAGTGCATTGCAATAGTATTAGGTCTACCAGAACTCTGCTGAACAGTTGATTGCAGTAGGATTATGTTTACCAGATCTCTGCTAAATAATTAATTGCAGTAGTATTAGGTTTATCAGATCTCTGTTGAACAGTACATTGCAAATGTATAAGGTCTACCAGATCTCTGCTGAACAATATATTGTAGATCTCTGCTGAACAGTACATTGCAATAGTATTAGGTCTACTATAACTCTGTTGAACAGTAGATTGCAGTAGTATTAGGTTTACCAGATCTCTGCTGAACAGTACATTGCAATAGTATTAGGTCTGCTAGAACTCTGTTGAACAGAATATTGCAATAGTATTTTCTTTACCAGATCTCTGCTAAACAGTACATTGCAATAGTATTAGGTCTACCATAACTCTGCTGAACAGTACATTGCAATAGTATTAGGTCTACCAGATCTCTGCTGAATAATTGATTGCAATATTATTATGTTTATCAGATCTTTTTGAACAGTAGATTACAATAGTATTATCCTTACTAGATCTCTGCTGAACAGTACATTGCAATAGTATTAGGTCTACCAGAACTTCTGAACAATAGATTGCAATAGTATTAGGCCTACCATAACTCTGTTGAACAGTAGATTGCAGTAGTATTAGGTTTACCAGATCTCTGCAGAACAGTACATTGTAATAGTATTAGGTCTGCCATAACTCTGTTGAACAGTAGATTGCAGTAGTATTAGGTTTACCTAACTCTGCTGAACAGTCGATTGCAATAGTACTAGGTCTACCAGATCTCTGCTGAATAATTGATTGCAGTAGTATTAGGTTTACCAGATCTCTGTTGAACATTACATTGCAATAGTATTAGGTCTACCAGATCTCTGCTGAACAGTACATTGCAATAGTATTAGGTCTACCAGAACTCTGCTGAACAGTTGATTGCAGTAGTATTAGGTCTACCAGATCTCTGCTGAACAGTATATTGCAATAGTATTAGGTCTACCATAACTCTGTTGAACAGTAGATTGCAGTAGTATTAGGTTTACCAGATCTCTGCTGAACAGTACGTTGCAATAGTATTAGGTCTACTGTAACTCTGTTGAACAGTAGATTGCAATAGTATTAGGTTTACCAGATCTCTGCTGAACAGTACCTTGCAATAGTATTAGGTCTGCTAGAACTCTGTTGAACAGTAGATTGCAGTAGTATTTTCTTTACCAGATCTCTGCTAAACAGTACATTGCAATAGTATTAGGTCTACCATAACTCTGCTGTACAGTACATTGCAATAGTATTAGGTCTACCAGAACTCTGCTGAATAATTGATTGCAGTAGTATTATCTTTACCAGATCTCTGTTGAACAGTACATTGCAATAGTATTTGGTCTACCAGATCTCTGTTGAAGGCAGTAGATTGCAATAGTATTATCTTTACCAGATCTCTGCTAAAACAGTAGATTGGCAGTAGTATTAGGTTTACCAGATCCTCTGCTGAACAGTAGATTGCAAAATAGTTTTTTAGGTCTAGCCAGAACTCTGCTGAATAATTGATTGCAGTAGTATTATCTTTACAGAAGATCTCTGCTGAACCAGTAGATCGCAATAGTATTAGGTCTACCAGATCTCTGCTGAACAGTAGATTGCAATAGTATTAGGCCTACCATAACTCTGTAGAATAGTAGATTGCAATAGAATTATATTTACCAGAAATTTGCTTAACAGTACATTGCAATAGTATTAGATCTACCAGATCTCTGCTGAACAGTAGATTGCAATCATATTAGGTCTATTAGAACATTGATGAACAGTAGATTGCAATATTATTATGTTTATCAGATCTTTTTGAACAGTAGATTACAATAGTATTATCCTTACTAGATCTCTGCTGAACAGTAGATTGCAATAGTATTAGGTTTACCAGGTCTCTGCTGAACAGTAGATTGCAGTAGTATTAGGTCTACTAGAACACTGATGAACAGTAGATTGCAATATTATTATGTTTGCCAGATCTCTGTTGAACAGTAGATTGCAATAGTATTATCTTTACCAGATTTTATCTTTACCAGATCTCTGCTGAACAGTAGATTGCAATAGTATTAGGTCTACCAGATCTCTGCTGAACAGTAGATTGCAATAGTATCAGGTCTACCAGATCTCTGCTGAACAGTAGATTGCAATAGTATTAGGTTTACCAGATCTCTGCTGAACAGTAGATTGCAATAGTATTAGGTCTACCAGATCTCTGCTGAACAGTAGATTGCAATAGTATTAGGTTTACCAGATCTCTGCTGAACAGTAGATTGCAATAATACTTAAGGCTTTATATCTCTGCTGAACTGCATTTTGGTGATTTCTGGTTTTTCAGGAATACAAAATTTAATGCTTATAAGGTGATTTTTTTGGTCCTCATATAAATACAGGGAGAGGCTTTTTTGTTTTCATAATAGTGCATTAAGTAGATATATAGGTCTTCTGCAGCTATTTGTCTGGAAAGGTGCCTAAATCCAAGTCATAACTATGATAATGTTTCCTAAAACTTAACAAAATGGTATGAA